GTTTGGTCAACTGAATTAGGAAAACACAAGGTTTATTATGGCTATCCTAATAAATCTAAGGTTAAATGCTTGAATTGYGAGATTTCCAGGGATACCTATGATCGATGGCCAATCGGCTAAATCGAACCCCTGAACCAAAATTCGGTAAGACTGATTTTCTCTTGTTTGTTTAGTTGCTTTCTTATTCTTTTAATTTTAGTTATTAAATTTTCCCACTCAATTATAGTATCCATTCGGCTGAGAAATTACTGTTAGCTCCCTGTGGGATTCGACCTAGTACCACTTTTACTGCAAATATCTTATTCTGGGACTAGTACTAATTTTGAGGGCTTCGACAAACCGATCAACCGTTACAAGGTACAGCCTTGTAAGATACAGAGTATTGTGGGGTGCTCTTCAAGGTTGCCATTCGGAGGTCTGAACGGTAGGCAAGTCGCCTGTTGGATATCAAGTTCGATGGCGGGCTGACGGGTAGCGAGCTCCTCGAGCTTGTGCTCCTTAGGTCTGCTTTGACACGAATGCTGAAGTGCCTTTGGACCGAGGTGATCCATCGGCTCGGGCATGATTTATAACGAACTTGGTTTCGCTTGTTGCGATCTAGTTCCGAGACGATCTTAACTCGAAGTGGCTTTAGTTCGGGGTACCAGCTTACCCAAGCTTGCTTTGTAGTGAGTTGAGCTGTCACTCGTGTTGAGGAATGTCCACGTGTTGATCTGACCATGTCGAGTTGTCGCTTATGCGGGGTCACGTCCACGTGTCCCCCTGTCATGAGGTCAGGCCAAATTCTCCTTCATCAGTTTCCATCAGAGAGAGTGCAGTCCCGATCATTCACTTTGTCCGACAAAGGGGTTGATAATGTCACTATGGTCACCTACTCGAGTGAATTCTCAAACTGCCCTAACATAGCCAAGTTTTTATCCCCTCTAAGGATCTCACTAAATGGCATATCAAAATCAACCCAATCCGACACCCAATGCAGTACCATAATCGAATATAGGGGTTAGGTGTAACTTTCTAGTTTTGCCCACCAGCCTCCAAGGTCCAGGGCATAACTGGAAAATGGTTTTGGTTCAGTGTTTCAAACAAAACACACTACATGTACTTTGGGTCTCACCCTAACTGTTGAAACAAGACACCCCAACCAACTTGGTAACACATTAGTGTCAACCTTGGCAGGATAAGCTTCCCCAAGTCTATCCAACATCTAAGAACATTCTAAACTAATACAAATCTCATAAGTGTCCAGTTTAAGGGTAATTACATAGAAACAAACCGAATATAACATGAATCAATTATGTACTTTTATTTATTTACAATAAATGTATAATGTACATCAATCTTATCGAAGCTAAGGACATACACTGTCTAACAAGTATAATATGAAAAAAGCATCGTATATATGTATGAGTGAAATGAGGGCTAAAATTATCATTTGTGTCAATATAAGCACTTATTGGAAAAGTAGTTTACCAAACATCCCCACCCCAATAAGTGCTTAAAAACATAATAAGTAATTTGGCAAGTGGGTCACCAAAAAACTTTAAGTGGTTGTTAAAATAAGTACTTCCAAAAAATACTTGTGCACCGAGTACTTTTGACAACCACTTAATCATCAAACAGGACCTTGATGTTAGTAATCAAGAACAACTTTCCAATGGTTTCTCTTTTCTCTTGCTGATTCCTTTCTCAAAATAGGTGGATGATGGACATCAGAGAAAAAACAAAAGGGAACAGCTCTAGTAAACTGAGTGGATTACTCAAAGCATGAGCATCCTGCTAGGTACAAGACCACCAAGCCTTCCATTGTACAGCCGATGAACTATATCTCCATCCCCGATTCCAATTGGAGACTCACTTTCTGGCACTATATTCCTTCTCCAAGGTCCTTGCCACCGCGTTTGAAGGAGTCAATCTTGCCATCAGTTGGATTTTATTTTGAAATTTTAAAGAATAATAGAGCAACTTTGGCGATGTCAATTGTAGAAATTCTCTATAATTTAAGACATTATATAAACAATAAGGGTAAAGTTAGTCAATTAGCTAAAACCATAAGGGTGGTTTAAGAAATTTTCCCTATAATTTTTAACATAACAATTGATTTACCATCCAACATTCGGCAACTTTTAAGTAATGATGGTCTTGGTTTACCTTTTCCTAGACTTAGATAATTTTAAGGTGCATCAGACACCTTTGTTTATATGAGCTTATGGCCCTCTAATATAGCTTTAGTGAGGGGTAAGGTTTTTTTGTTCCCCCCCCCCCCCTCCTAGGTTTTTTCCACTTTTCCACTTTGTTAATCCACGATGGCCAAGGGGAGTAGAGTTTGGGGATATGGTCAACTGGTTAACCAGTGGTAACAGTTCAGTTTTGGTTCAGGGAATTGCAAACACTAGTGGTACCGGTTCAGTTTCAAAAAAGAGTTCATAGGGTCAGTACCGAACCGTGAGCACTCCTGGCAGTGCTGGTTCAGTCTGAGATCAGGTTGGGCCCACCAAAGTTGCACATAGTACATATCATATGAACATTTTAAACGTTATTGCGATATGATAAATTTGGCAAAACACCAGCTTAAAAGCGCGACCAAAACATGTTGTACAAGGGATGATGAGGAATCTATCTTTTCTTCAACTTTAAGGTGGTTCAATCTACAACAAGGAAAACTGTGGCGATTGGAATGACAAAAATATACTTTACAGTATTAAAAGATAACAAAACTAGAACTACAGGTTCCTGTACATGAATCTAGAAATGGATCAACCCCTGAAAGTCTTGCCTCCGAACGAGGACACGAATTTCCTCTGCGTCATTTACATTTAGGAATGCGCCAAAGTCAAACCCTACTGTGATAAGATAATCACGCCAGGTAGTTGTATATCTGTGGATTGCTCTTGTCCCTCTCCAGGTACTCCCTATCAATAAGACTTTCAATCCTTTTCTTCAAATCGGCAGGCTTTATTGGAAACTTGAGCTGTTTAATTAAAAAAAAAAAAACTCCCTATCAATAAGTCCCCTCGGTCACATCCGTGCCACCTAATTAAAAGTGCGAAGATAGAAAATCCTTTTCTGGTTACCTGTTGGAAGAGCTCGGTTATCAAAAGTGTGTGGCTCAGCACTTTCCTAGTCTTCATTATACGAACAATAGCTGCATCAACCTGCAAATACACCAAGCAACATTGCAATTTCACTCACCTAATTCAATGCTTCCAATTGGAATTGCATTGGCATTCACATATCAGTAAGATAGCAGAAGATTAGAGAAGACAAACCTGATATTGACGATCCTGGAAAACTCTTTCAGTAGTGCTTGTGTTCTCTTCCACCGTCTCCTTCATCTGGATAGCATTTACCTGTCCCCTCGAGATAAAATCAGCTATATGTTTTAAGCTTCAAGTTCCATAGATTGCTTTTGTTCTATTGAAATAAAGAAGAAAGAGAAAATAGTGACAAGGTATTTACCTTTATACGATACAAAGGAGCACTGAATTCTTCATTGAACACAAATAAGTCATCATCCTCCACTTCTCTCCCTTTAGGGGACTGAACATAACTCCACCATCATCCATATTTAACCAACCAAAGAAATAGAAAGATACAATTTTCAAAGGGAACCCTTGACTGACCTTCTGAAGTACGCGAACTTTTCCACAAGCAAGTGATTGCAGAGTTCTTCTCAGCTCTTTGTCCTCAATACCTGTTGAGTCCCTGATGTCTTGAAAGCTAAGCTTTTGGGCATCATTAAATAACATCAGGACAACAGTCTGGTGCACCCATGGATCAAGCACACCAAAAATGAGAAAGGAAAAAGTAAGAATGTAATGAACAAGGCATTTATAAAACTAGTGAAACAATGTAAAGAATAATATATACAGTTATGCTCTTGGCCAGTTTTTCTCAGTAACTTATAAGCATTTTATTAATATTGAAAAAAAAATAAAGGAATGAAAGGTAGCCAGCACTTGTTATAATTTAGGTGCATTTGTATCCTTGCCTTACAGAAGATTACATCTCTAGGAGGTTACTCCCCAAAATAATTTATGTCTAGCGATTCCTAGGTCTTGCCAACGGATCAACCAAAGTACTGATAAATACAGGAACAATATAAGAGAAGCACAAAATTTGGCTAGGACGATGGGAGCAACATTTATTTGGATCAAAGGTCAAGCAAGCTACCTATCCCAATTGTATCCTTGCCTCAAGGCAGATAACATCTCTAGGAGGTTACTCCAAAATAATTAATTTTTACTGCTTCCTTTTCTTGCCAACAAATCAGCTGTTGATTGACCTATTTATCTAATTGAATATTGTTCCCATCTCGTTAGCCAAACTTCATGCTTCTCTTATTATGTGCCTATATCACCAAGAGCCCATACCGTTATTTTTAAGCAATCCTACTAAACCTGAGAGTCACCTTCTATTCTGCCACCACATTTCTGTAAATCAGACTTTTGCTCATTTTCAGTTCATTTAAAACAGCCAGAAACTCCTCCCTTGTTGAATCTCTGTCCCAATTGAACCGAAAAATATTACCAAAGTTGCACTCCAGAGTTGCAAAAGTTACAACCATCAAAATTTAGTTAAATTGAGTTATTATTAGGCGGTGTCCAGCTTGGTTTTGCAATATTTTTCTAGCCTCTGATAATATCTTCAATGAATAAATAGGCAAACAGATTCAACATCTTGATCTAATATTCCAACCTTAACAAATACTCTACAAGAGCGAGACTCTTTAGATTAGCTCTTTGAAAATTCTAGCATTTATTTCCTTTCCAGACTGACCATAATATTGTCTTTGTTTCCCTTGTGCATCTTCATAATCTCTTCTTTTAGTTACAGACGAAGGGAGTCCTCAGACATGGAAGGCACATTCCTACATAGGTAACAATCTGCATTCAGAAAGAGACTAGAAAAATTCCCAAATACCAAGGACAAAAGGGTAGGAGATTAATAAATGTAGGTAGCCTAACAACTTGCATTTCAAAGATAACACATGGGTTGAGAAATAGCAATTATAGTTACGACTTGGATGGGCCCAACCCAAGCACAACACTACATAACCGGAGCTTGTATACAGGTTGGGCTTGAATTTTTGAGCTCTGGGCTAGGCCTGGGCCAGAAAACTCAGGCCTGACCTGAACTTGGGTTGGGCTTGAATTGAGGCCTTAGGTAGCCCAAGCCCAGTAACAACTTGAGACAGCCTAACAGTGTATGACAATAGATGTGTAAATTCTGTATGTATGACATGTATATATGTATGTAGATTACATATTTATAGTATCATATACACCCTAAACTATATTTAGTTACTTACAATATGTATATAATTAGCTTAAAATGACACCCATGAATAAACATGTACAAATACAAACATATTATACATTTCATATAGGGTTTATTACTAAAATATACCCCAAGGTTTCCAAAACTACTTAAATATACCTTGTTAGATGACCCCACTTGACAAAAATAGGTCCTCCATTGATGAAATGTTTAGGGCCATTTACACCTAATATTATGTGCCTGTTATATCTTATCATAATCCCAGTTTTACCCTACCATGGACCCTGCTCCAAATGGGGGCTTCTTGTCTTTCTGTTTTTCATCACGAGATCCGACAATCACATTCTAAGAATTACATAATCAAGAATCCAAATATCGATACATATCCATATACAAGGTATTGGAGACCCGACTATCACATTCTAAGAATTACTGTAAGTGATATGTATCCTGAAGGGATGAGAGATTCATCATAAGGATGGCCAAACCCTGTAGGAAGGTAGGGCAAATTTTCAAAAATTTCTCTTTCTCCCATCTGGGAATCACATTCCCTGTTTTAGAAAAACTGCATTTTTCAAGGATCAATCTTGAACCAAGAACCGAACCAGATCTGAACCAAAACAGTAGGAGAGGGATATACCTGATACGAAGAAATAATCTTCCAATGGAGGTGTTCACGCCCAAGGAAGGATCCAAAGACTGCTCCCACTGAAGATGACACAGTGCAAGATGGAGCAGAATCAGCAGTGTTCTTCCAAAGAACCAAATCCTTCACCAAGATATCGCTGGAGGGTAGGTGAGCACGACTCCCAATCAGTTTTTCACCAAAAACTGATATCAAGAACGCTTCTTGATTGCTCCTATAACAATGGAGATCGAACTGGCTATGGCGACAACTGGAGGAGAACGCAGGGAGAAGATGGCGCAGTCACACTGTTGTTGTCTTCTCTCTCTGTGATCTGAGATCTGATCTCTGGGATGCTGGGATGTGATGGGATGAACTGAATGGTTCGCCCCCTCCTCCTTTTATAGACTTAAAGATATCAGCTCCTAATCCCATTAGGAGTTTCCTGATTCAAATCCTTATTTGAATCTGGACTCTCTTTAAGTGATAAGGATAAATCCTTATCTTATCTGCAGATTAGATCAGCTCTCTCCTAATCTCATTAGGAGGTTTCCAGATCCAAATTCAGATCTGGACTCTCTCAGTGGATAGGGAGTTATCCCTATCCTATCTGCTGATCCAATCCCAGATCCGCCCCTCTCTTTAGTTAGTCTAACTAAACCAGTTTGAAATGGGCTTTTAGGCCCAATAAGTCCATGTACTCATCAACCTTCCAAACTGCTGCCCAGTTGGGCTTCTTTGTATGGCGTGGGACCCAAACATTGATCTACAAATTAGCCACATGGGTTCAGCCCAGCCTCTGTTACAAGGCCTGGCCGAATTCACTGAACAGACAGTGAACCCCTTCAAACCCATCACATGGGCTCCTAATGGGCCCAACACTTGCACAAAGTGGCCCCTGGGCCAAGCCACCTTATAAAAACCCAGGGATTGTGGGCAGATGCAAGATTAGCCCATCAGGTATTACCCTCAATGGTCTTACATTTAACCTCTCAGCCCTTAATGATCAAACACTGCCCGACAAGAGAGGACCTCTCCCTCGGCTGCAAAGAACAGTGCTGCACTCTCTACTCACATGGATCCCGGGAATTAAAACCTTTTGCAAACATTTTGAAACCGTA